GGAAGGCCTGGGCAGGAGCAGCCTTGGTTACAAGAACACGCTCGTGGAAAAGCAGCCAGATGCAGCCGTGCGTTGGTGTCCTTGGCAGGGGAAAGGGAGGTTCAGCTGGGTCCGACCGGGCGCTGGTGCCGCCGCCATCCCCGTGGCTGCGGGGCGGCGCTGACGGTGCCGCCGTCGCTGCTGCGACACCGGGAGTGTTCGGGGCATTTCCAGCCTGTGCTGGGAGCTGCGTGAGGAGCAGCCAGGCAGCGGCGTTAACGAGAGAGCGGGTGAGCTTCCTGTGCACGTTCCAAACCACTCCAGAGTTCTTCCAGGAATAGTTCGGTTCAATGTGAAAAAATATTTTTCACATGATGGACTGACAACTCAGTATTCTTTGCACTTGTAACAGCAAAGTGGAAAAATGGCAGTACTCAGTTTTGTATTTTTATCTACGTACATTGTCTGTCAGCTTTTTGGAGACACATCTGTCAGCATGTGAGCAGGAATTATTTTCTAGAGAGGGGTAGCTTTGTACACTAGACATTACAGCATCCCTTGTAACCTCGAATGATTTTATTTTCCTTTTACAGATAGCAAATGAAGGGAGATGATGCATGTGATTACCCTGAAGTCTCTGACAGAGCTGGGGAGCCAGGTCCTGCCGATCTGCGTGCCTGGTCACTACCCAGTGCTGGTGAACAGAGCTCTTGTAGGGAAGGATTTGCCTGGTTCGAGGTGACCCTACAAAACATGAGCCCTGTGCTCTCAGAGCTAGGATTTGAAGGGTTAGTGGAGCAGTGTTACTTTGAGTCGCAAATTATTACTAACTGAAAGATTTTCTTTCTGTAGCGAAAGGACTATTTCTGAAACAAATTATTTGTGTTTTGACTGACTGCAAAACGTTCATTCTCAGATATTCTCAGCTTCTGTGGAGACTACGCAAGGGTAAACGGAATATTGTGATTATTGTGATAAAAGTTTTATATGAGGTTTGATGTACAGGAGAAAAAAAGCTACATATTAATTAAGCAAATATCTCTTGCTAATAATCCAGCACTGATATTTCCTGCTGTATCATAACTATTTACCATTCCAAATTAAAAACCAAACAAAAAAGCCCCAGCCTTAGAAACACAGTCCTTGCATATTATCCCCTCCTTAATTGCACAGTCACAGTGACTAAGCTTTGTAAAGAAACATTGCATCCTTCAAGCTCTGCAATGGTCTGTACGTTACGGAAGATGCTGATGCTCCTGTGCATACCTTAAATAAATAGAGCATCTCAATTTTAGATCTGGAAGAGGAGTTCCTGCTACTCTCTTATTATTCAAAATATACCCCCTTACTACTGAAAATATCATTAAGTGGAGCAGAATCTCTAGATTTTCACTTTTTTGAAAAGACAAGATTTGATTGTAGAAGCATGACATACGTGTTTTCATTCAATTAAAAAAGAAGTATTTGGAGCTGACAAACAACTAACACTGATTTAAGGATTAAGCTGAAGAACAATCCTTAATAAAAGTTTATATGTGGTGGACGTGAACTATTTTTCCCTAAGCTTAAGGGCTCTAATTACAGTGTTTTAATTCTTTATCCGGTTTTGCAAAGTTAGCTTTGAAAGTTACGTTTTTTTTCTTCTTTAGCATATATCCTAATGCCTATTCCCTTAAGCAGATTTCTGAGACATTGAAACTGCTCTGTTTTTGGTAGGTTAATGTCTGTTGCTGCTCCTCCCAGTTAACTCCCAGTTTTACATGAAATGCCCTTTGCACCAAACCTTCTCTCTCTCAGCTCCAAAGTAAATGCTGAAGTGTTCAGATTGAAAATACCACAGTATAACCTCCCAGAAAAAATAGCATAGATAGAAAAATCCATCAGTCTCCAAATACCTGTTTCTGTAGGATTTATTTTTTCAATAACAGAATTCTGTAGGATTTCAGAGAATGTACAAAATAGGAAAGGTAATATTCTCTTTAAGTAAAAAAGGGTAGTGAAGAAACATCTGCATTTAGATGTCTCTAGGCTGTAGCAAGGAAAAAACATCTGGACAACAATAGCGGTGGAAGAGCCATCGGACCCGTTTCGGAGCACCCCAAACCAGGAGCATTGTACGATACTAACGGAGCTGTTGGCAGAGCAAAGCCAACCCCTCGCGCTCCCACCGCGAGGCCCGAGCCCTTCCGTCCGGCCGGAGCGAGGACGGGCTCAGGATGCTCCGGACAAATCCTGCCCAGCTTTAGGCCAATGGTTCCAAGTGGCTGAAGGAAAACATGAGGACGGCCCAACCCGGAGCCGCCGGCAACAAGGCAAGGAAGGTGCTTGATGAACCCTGTCCTTTACACGGCAGTGACTGTAACAGCATCAGTGCAGAGTTACCGGGTGGCTGTTCAGGGCACCCACGCACCAGGCACGTACCCTCCTGTAACAGCAAAAAGGCACCAGGTCGGGTATTTTCGTGACTTCTGGCACTTCTGCATGTTCTAATCCTCATTCAAACTTCTCAAGGTTGGAATCAATCCCTCCGGAAACTCCTTTCCTCCCCCTGCAATCCCCTTCTACAGCACTTAGTGGTTAAAAAAAGAAGAAAAAAAATCAGGAAGGGAAGCCACTTGGAAAACTCAAGGGATTTTAATGACTGAATGAATGAAATAGGAACTACTCATCATTATATTTAAGTAGCAAACAGGTATTTTGCTATGAAAGAACAAGTTAAAGATTTTAAGGAAGCCACAAACATTAGTAAGCCCAACATACAGAAGTTTGAGTAAGAAGGCATTTTACACACGAGTTTATCAACACAAAACTGTTTAATATTTATTAAATGACACAAAATACCTAGATAACAGACTCACTCTTTGAAAGGACATGTATTTACATTATTTACCAACTTAAGAAAGACTCTCTGTACCCACGTCAGACTTGTTATGAAACATTAAAAAGGTTTTGCTTTTTGCATCAAAGGATGCAATGGTGACACATGCCCTGTTTGCAAGTCTGCATAAACTATAACTTTTTGATGCAGTGAAAAAAGCACATTTTTATATTCTGGTAGCCGAGTGAAGAGGCCTCTGTAAAGTAACAGGGTTGGTTCTCCCCTCCCTCCCCCCCAGACTCCAGACATACTCTGAAGGATTCTTGTACAAAAAGTATATTACATTTTTGAATGCTGCTGTACTCTTACATAGTGTAACTTCTCAAATGAAATATTCTTCCTACTGTACGAAATCACTGAAAACAAAGTGGTATTTGAACATTTCGATAGATGCACTTCTTTTTTTTAAGAAAGCATTAGGGGAAATGATATGTTTAGGAAAAAGCACGAGATTACTGGGAAGAAGAAGGAAGAAAAAAAAAAAAAAAAAAAGAGCAGAGACCAAAATATGAACCACAGCTAAAGCAACTTAACAATTTGCTATTTTTGTCTTTTTATTAACTATTTACTTTGGCACCTTTGTGTAAACTATAGAACAAAACAATGTTTACAACACATCTGCAGTTACAGCATTTAAACAAAATGGTCACTTCTTAAACCAGCCAAGACAAAAAAATAGTCCATTTATGGGTATAAAGATTAAAAAACCTAAAATATATATTTCTAAGAATAAACTGCAATTTCTTATGAACAAGGTGCTATAAACTGCATGCAAGAGTCAAGATTAAAAATGTGCGGCCAACCAGACAAGCTGTGTTATAGCCAGATGGGTTGTGGTCCAAGCCCACTTTTGTTTTTCTGTATAGATAGATATGGCTCAAGAGGCAGGCACATGATCCCAGCAGAGCTGCCCGGCTGGACAGAGCCTTGGCTGCAGCTTTGGGGTTAACAGGAACGAGCGAGACCTTGGGGGGGACACGGGGAGTTCGGGGGGAAAATCCCCGAGGACGCGGGAACGAAGGGGCCCCCGTCCCGTCCCGTCCCTCCCCCGTGCGGTTTTGGGGCTGCTTTAACGGGATCCGCAGCAGAACCCGGGGCTGCCCCGGCCTGAAGCGCTGGGATCCTCCAGCTTTGACTTCCTGCACTTCACATCTATTCCAGTAATTCCATCAAGCCTTCAAACCTTTGTGGTTCATTTGACTGAATGCAATGCACTTGTCTAACGAAGGAGTTTTTCATTTACTTTAACTTGGCAAATATTTAATTTTTTAAATACAGGGTGGTATTTCAATTATTTGCTGTAATAGAGAGAAGGGACAGTTTGGAGAAAATCAATACTAAAGAGTTAACTTTTATGCCTCAAAGAATTAAGTTTTTATGCTCTTTCTCCAAAACACTTTAAAATTAATCTTTTATTTGGCTAAGGATACAAAAAACATACAAGGAAAATTGACTGCAAAATACAGAAAGTTTCTTTTTCAGGCATTCTTTTCTACCCAGTGGATGAACTAATTCTTAAAGATCTGCCTCTGGTTGTTGGAGCAGCATCCAAGTTTCTGACCAAAACTCTCGTTAGCACTTTTCCTACAGAGGCAAGGGTGGTCCTGGATTCCACCAGGGATAATATTGCAATAGTGTCTAGGAATAGGTATGTTTTCTGCAGACTATTTCAACAAGCTGTTTGACAATTAGAAGATGGGCAAAGTTAATTTAGTAGGAAGAAAACAGCTGCTTAATCTGTCAACTGAGGACTGTATATAGAAGAGCTTGAGAAAAAGCACAGCTGAAGAAAATACAGAATTAAACAGTGGATCAAAAAGCAGTAGAGATGGGATGTGTCAGATACAAAGGAGATATATAAATACACACACAAACACACACACACACACACACTCTCCCCCACTCACACATGCACACCCCTGAATATGGGATCACAGTGATAAAAGTTATATAGACGGTAAGGAGTTAAGTTATACCACCTTTAAACAAAAGTAACATCTTGCTTTCAAGAAATATCTGGTATTCCGCAGGACGATCAGTGCCTGGAAGAGGATGAGGTTTTCCTTGTGCTCTGCAGCGCAGCTCATGGAGGTCTGAAGCTCGGCTGGGTGAGGAGGAACCGCGACGTGGAGGGGTTACATTTTCTGCTGACACTTCTTTCCCCCCTGCCCACCCCCAGTATATTCCTGGCATACACTATTATAGCAATAAAAATCCATTCCATTGAAACAAAGCTCTACATTCAAGTGACTTATTCTCCCATGTTTTATAAAGATGCAAAGAATGCTCTCTGGCCATCTAAGGAAACAGCTTCCAGATGCCCCGTAGCAATACTCAACTATCTTTCCATATGAGAGGTAGGCTTTGGGTTCTAGGAGGCCTGCCACATCCAGGGCTGAGTTCTTAAAGCTTTAAGTTAAAGCAATCCAAAGCAGGGCAGTCGTCAGAGCTACCCTGTCTAAACCTTGAGGTTAGTTCAAGTTTAGAATGCTGCAAAGCAAAACAAGTATTAAAATCCATTTGCAGTTTTTGTTCTTATAGCTTTACCAAAAGAACAGTGTGGCTTTTCATAAATATCTTTAAATAGATTCTTTTTGTAGAGTATTGCTGCCAAGAGGTGAAGGCCTCCTACCCACGACTAGTAAAAAAAGTCACTTTTTTTCCTATTATGGCTGTATTATGTTTAAAATTCCCAAAGGTGAACACTGAGTTTTATAGGCAAGCCATATAAATCGGAATCTGTTTTGTTGTAGTAGTTACTTAAGAATGGTATTTGTATACATAATATATATGCCCACACTGCAAACTTTATACATCATTTTATATTGGTACCATTTTGTCTTAATTGTGACCAAGAATAGGTTCCACTAGATCACAGGCATAGCTTAGCTCACTTCTCCATTTTCCCTCCCTCAAGGGAAAAATCCAAGTGTGGGTATCAACAAAACCAATGGTATGTTGCCAACTGAAATTCATTCCACACAGTAAATTAAAAATTTGCATGCAGTTTAAGCATTTTAAAGGCTATTTGCTTGTATTAATTAACCTTCGGTTTCTGTTTAAAGGTGTGAAAGACATCTGTCATATCAAGGGACTCCTCTTCAGACCCAGAGACAAATGGAATCACGAAGACCAGGTACTTTCTTGTAGCCTTCTGCACATCTTACTAAATAACATGCAAAGAGTTCAACAGCATTCTTCTTAAAATGTAAATAGTACTCTTTAAATGGGCATGTTAACCACTGAAAGAAGTCCACTCTACTATACTTTTCCATTACACTGCTTTCATTCAGTCATCGGTAGTATAAAAAGTCAATTAATGGGATCAACAGGCTAGTTTATCCACTGGCAATTGCGTATGACACCAAGTGTGCAGTAAAACAAAGGCCAACATATGTTTATGCAATATAGTTGTATTGATTTGGGTTCTCTTTATCTCTTTCCATGTAGTCCCTGTCAATTAAGGATTCTATTCTCTTCTTAAGGTCAGCAGGCTGTAAAATAAAGGAAATTTTCAGTATTATTATTTTGCTATAGATGATCCTCAATTCTTTCTTTCCATATAACCCAAAGATATTCACAGTGTTTAAGATGACCGAGGAAACAGGAACCACAATTTAAATACTATGTGTAATGGACTGAAGAGAAAGCTACAAAATTAGCTTGTAACCTACAGCTGTCATAAATCCTTTTACAGCACTGAAAAATATTTGTTTCCCTTCAAATTGAAGGCTCCTTTAAAAACTGGGACTCATGTTAAATGCCAAAGTGTTTCTATTTCTGACTTTCATCCAGTAAAACTGTTTCTTAAGGCAAAAAAGTTTTGCAATAGCTTTGGTGCCCTATGATTTTGTTGAGCAAAGAACTTGAACATGAGGCATTTTTAATGGTGAGAAAAAGCATTTGGGTTGCCCGTTGTAACCCTACATGCTCAGCTGCAGCTTATGCAGTACTCAACAGGCCTGTTGGAATTCCACGTGGTAACAAAATAGAATAAAATGGCAGTATCTTTTGTTTTTCATTTCCGTTCATAAGCAGCAATGAAAGCGCTGTATAATTGAACTCAGATGCATACATCACTATTTGAAAATCTGTTTTCAATTATGCACATAACCAAGCTATTTATATCACAAATACGGGCTATGTTAATGTTGAGATGTTCACCACTATCTGTTTTTCATTCCCCATATTAACTACCATACATTTATTGTTTACTCATTGATTAAAGATGCCAACAAAGCAGCCAGGATCAAGAACACTTCTGGGTGACTTATCTGAACTATTCCCACCTCCCCTGCGAGAACGCCCTTGGGAAACGCCAGGGCACTTCAGGACCACACAGAGGGGGGTAACTTCAGAGCTACTACTAACAACAGATGTCCATAAAACCTATTTCCAAATGCTTTCAGGGTTGAACTTACTAAATGAGAAAACATTCAGATAAATTAATGCAAATGGCACTTCAAAAATTCCTGCAAGGGAATACTGGCCCTTCCCAACAGTAAGGAGATTCAGGTTACAGATGGGAATTTTATAAATAAGCATTACAACTTCAGAACAAGAAAAATCAGGACTCTTACCTTTACTGGGAATTTAAGCTGGTTGTAAACCTCTGACACAAGCAGGTTGTGACTCAGCGTCTTGCGCATTTTCATGATTCGCACGATCGCGGCATCGATCTGGTACTGCCGGTCCTGGAACACCCTCTCCGTAGTGCTTGCCTGCTCCTCTACCTGGCGGGCACGTTCAGAAAAGTTTGTAAGACAACAATAGAGCTGTCCAGTCTATTTTTATTCATTACTTGAAAAAGAATCGTTCTTAGTATAAACCCCTAAGTTTTCTTTAATTGTCAAATATTTGATGCAAATTCTTCACAAGTATAAAGACATATTGTCTATTAAAAAAAAATCTGCAAGAGATTCAAAGAGACTAACAATTGTTGCAGATATTATGAGTGCAAGATATTAAGGGAAAACACTTGAATTTGTTTCTGTGATTTCAATCAATTTTGTAAAACATCTGAACCACACTGACTATTTAGAACTCCTGTTAATCATGTTCAGCGATAGCTTAGATTCCAGTGATCCTAGGCAATAGGGCAACTCACATTTAAACCCCCCTGTTATGTCTGTGCTATCATATGAAGTATCCTTTACAAAGATACCAGTATATACATTATAACTGAGTGGAATAAATATTTGTAAATGAGTGGACCATAGAGACTTGACCCAAGCTTCTAGAAACCAAAAGATTAAAAAGAATATACCGTTTCTTTCATCTGAATTTGGTTGATCTTTATCCTGAAAAGCTTATGTCTGAAGTCATCATTGCATGTAAATTTATCACCATCTTCCACATCTTTCCCTTTGGGACTTTTAGTTAATACTCTGGCTTTGCCACAAGCCAGAGATTGAAGTGTTCTTCTCAGCTCTCCATCCTCTACAGCAGAAACAAGTTTTCAGTATTTGAAGTC